AGTTGCGTATTTAATATAAAATACGGTTTTTATATAACTAATACATATTTATACATAAAATTATGGTTTTAATGTAAAAAAAAAAAAAAAAACCTTGTATTTATACAAAACTATGGTTTTTAATTGAAAAAAAACGTATTTATACGGTTTAAAATGTAGTAAAAAAATATATTTATACGGTTTAAAATGGAAAATTGTCAAATTTGAACAAAAATTGATAAATGATGTTCGATTTGGAACAAAAAAACATAGGGTCAAAATTGAAAGAAAAAATTAAAATTAGTGTCAAAATCGAAAAAAAAGTGAAAACTTACTGTTTTTTGTGGAAAAAAAAATTCAATTTTGACACGTCAACATATCATGTCAGCATGCCACGTCATCAAAACTGACACATCATCATGCCACGTCAGCATTTAACCTGATTGACCGGTCAAGTGGTCATAATTGTAACAAATTGAAAAACACAGTGTCAAATTTAAGACAAAAAAAACACAGTGTCGAATTAGAATTTTGGTGTAAACTGGTAGTCTTTTATACTATTTACCCTATAATGAAAGGGCAGGGCTATAGAAGAATTACAGTTTCCTTATAGACATAGTGCACTTAGCTTTATCCTTCAAATATTTGTTCTATCTAAATGTTATCTAACCAAATAAGCATACATCATTTGAGAATTGTGATGTATTACTCTGAATTTACTTAGATGTCTATGTCTAATTCTAATAAACAATCGGCAGCCATCTTTGCATTTTCTCACAATAAGGTACCAACTGTCCTTACTTCTTTGCTTTACACTCATAGTCCATAATTTCTAATACAAATGCAACAGTTCTAGTTTTTGGTTATCTCAAAATAATAAGTGCAGCGTAGACCTTTCTTGGATTTAATTGACAAGTGATAGATTGAGAGATCGATAAAGCCAGAGCTGATGCATTCTGATCCGCAAAATTACAGCAATTGCAACAAAACACAATATCAAAAAGTTGATACGAACGAAGGGTTTCAGTGTGCTTACAGCAAAATCCAGTTACCATCAAGAAGCTCCACAGCATCCGTAGGCGCCGGCGTCGGATTAATCGCTTCTAATTGAGTCACTAACTCCATAATCTCCGCCCGTTCCTCCGTCGACGCACGGAATCCGAGACCAGTCCCGTAAACACTGTCAACCAAACACCTCTTCAGCTCTTCAATTTTACCATTATCCTCAGCTGCAGTCACTTCCACAGTTTGACTCCCGTTACCGGCAACAGAAATTTCTTCCTCCGGTTGCTCTGTAGCACCGGTTCCCCACTCGTCTTCATTTTGGGGAGGATCTGAGGTTGACAATCTCGTCGGTGGTTCATTTTCCGGCTCAGATTTCTCTCCCCATTCGTCTGTGACCGTGGGTAACTGCGACCCGTCTGATTCTTCGTCGTCGTTGACAGTCTGATCCGTGGCGTTCCATTCAGGGGTTGTTGGGGGATTGTTTGAGGAGAACCGAATGAATGCCGATTTGATTCTTCTTTGGCGGATTGAAAAAGATAGAGATATAGGGGGAGAGTAGTGGAGCATGGAAGAAGTAGCCGTGGTGGTGTCGGCCGAGTTCTCGAAGAGAAGTGATGGGTTGTGGGAGAAGAGGAGAGACATTGTTGTTTCTGGTTCTGGTGAGTGTGGGTCTCCCGTTACATGTTATTCATTTATTTATCTCATATTAAAGATTTTCTTTTGTTTTTCTATTTTTGATTGGAAGCCCAACAAATTTTTTCTATTCACAATAATTTGTCGTGTATTGTACAACTCTATAAAACATAATTTGTTGTGTATAAAAAAAAAATCGTTGTATACGAATCACTTCCCTATTTGATTTGATTCCTAGACGGTGTTAGCGTTGTGGTTTTATTTTCGAAAAATTGAGTAATATAATATAAGAAAAATGACATTCTTGTTCTATAATGATTTCGGAACTTGTCTAATCAGTTATTAAACTATTTTTGTTGTTTTATAAGTATATAAGATCGTTTTAGGCGGGTTTAATTGGTCATTTTGAAAGAATTGAATGGATAAACCGATTATTCCCTTATGCCAACTCAATTCGTGTACACGTCTCTCTCTCTCTCTCTCACACACACACACACACATAGACACTTATAGGTTGTTTAAGAATTTGGCTTCTCCCATTTTCTTGTTATATTTTATCATCGCTATACAACCATGACAAAGACCTCTATGCTCTTCCATTGATCAAATAAGGTCAGCACTGAAGATGAAAAGGCCCTAACACCCATCGATAATTGCCATAAACCCATCTTCAACCACCCTCAACTTTACAAACCATCACCACTACCTCCACCGCCCCTACCAAGAAAGAAACTCCAAGCTGTCACAGTTGCTAGATTCCGCTCCAGTTCTTACCGCTATCATGCAAGACAGAGCAAACCTTCTAAACACTCTTGACCGATAGTAGTCGAAACTGAAGGATCTTGTATGCTCAAGAATGATATTAAAGTGATATTGCTAATTAACATATGATACTAATGGATCACACTAACAACAACTTGATATAATTGATTATTTATTAGAAATTGGTTGTAATAAATATTCAATAAACTCTTATAATTAATTGGAAATTATTTATTTGTAGGAAATAATAATTTTCATTAGCAAGTAACATTATATAATTCATATGATATGAATTAATAAGTCATGTACAACATTTTGGACTAGATAAATTCTTTTGTCTTTTACCACAAAGTTATAGTTTATATTTTATAAATTTGTTTTATAAAATATAAAATTTTTGTCTTCTTTCTATTATTATTTTTGAAATAAAAGTCAAAAGGAAGAGCATTGGGTTTTCAATTCTTTAATTAGAAGAAATCAACCAAGTAAAGCATGTTGGGACATGCTCATGACATATGGACATGGTTTGGTCAAAAGTCTTAAGACCTTATGGTTAAGAACCTTGTTTTATGCATTAAGACTCGAGGCTTGCATTTCTCTTGCCTTTTATGAGTGAAAAAACGAAATTTGCATGGTAATATGCATTCTCTCTCATTTTTGGTTCATCTCATGAAGATTAGTTGCTTCTTATGCTCTCCTTGTGTTCTTATTTTGATAAGAACATAAAGCTTAAGACTTAAGAGTTTTATACAAAAGAACTAGCATTCTACATCAGGTTGAGTCATTGTTGGTGTCTCTTAAGTTCATCATTCTTCATCAACTTCCAAGCCTCCCAAGAGGACCCAAAGAACTACAAAGGTTGTAATTTTTCCATCTTCTTCTTTGGTTGGTGTTTAAACTTTCTATAACTTGCAAGATGATCCTTGGTGGGTTCAACTTATTTATGTTATTCAAAAATGATCAAGTCTTCCGTTGCTAAATATTATGTTTTTGAAATTAGTTTTTGAATAAAAACCCAACAATTGGTATCAAGAGGCACCTTGCAAGTTTGGTTAGATTTTTTGATTTTTTGAAATCTTTGTTTTTGGAGAATATGGATAACTTGGTTTTGTATAAAAACAATTTCATACATATTTTCTATGACAACTTTATAATTGTTATTTTATGTGACAAAAATTTTCATGCATCTTTTGTCATTTAAAGTTGTCTTAGAAAAACAAAGGTTGTTTAATGTGTGTGTTGATATGTATGTTGTGCATAAACTAGCCAAATACCATTATGTTTGTTGTGTTGGTGTGTTTGTTTTTATAATAAAAATGATTGTAATAATTTATTTATTCGTATTATATGTAATAAATTAAATAGGTTAGTTTTCTTGGTTTATTTTTGTAAATAATAGATTAGTTGTTAATAATTTATTTGTACAAAAATGTAACAAGAAATGAAGTTGGAGCCATTTTTTGAAGATCAAAGAGCAATTTTTGAGTTTAACAACACGCTGAAAGTTAGTGACAAATTCTGAAAAGTGTCACTAATGCTGTTTACAAAGGGCAATTGGAATTTTAGTGACAGTTGCTGGAATTTTGCTTTCAATAAGCATTTCCATTCTTTTGCAAGCAAATGGTGTTTTCTCAAGTGGGAGCTTCTACAACAACATTACAAGAAGATTTTTTGGTCCCTTAAAATGTCCATTTAGGAATAGACTTGACATTTTTTGTGCTGGCTCACAAGTTGGTTATGTTTATGCACATATAATTTTATGCATGTTTATGTTGTTTATTTTATGCAATTATTATGTGTGGTTGATAAATTAGTTTTTCACATTCTATAATAATTTTGGACAAAATAAACATCACAATGGAGTTTGGTTTTCAAAATTTATAATATGGACATAACATGTAACAAGTTATAGTTTTAAAATAAAATCTGGTTTTATAAAAACGTTAATAACGTCAAATTTTGAAATACTCAAATATAAGTTTAAAATTGTGATTTTTGAAACTTATACAAACTTCAAATATATAAGTAATAAAAGAAAGTTTTATTAAAGATATAAAAATATTCAAATGCACTCAAACTTAATATCGGTTATTAAAATTTAATCGCATTAAAATTATATAAAAACTAGCTTTTTATATAGAACTTTTAAAAGTGATTTTCTTTTGAAAATTTGTATCATGGTTTATTATATGCATGTAATAACCATGATATCATATGTTTTTAAAATTGGAATTATAAAACATATAAAAGACCCTTTTTACAAACCTCAAATCTATGCAATCCTTTTTGAAGAGCACCCGTACATCTCTTGTATGTACTAGTGTGATAAATGATACCTAACCGTTTAGTGTTATCTTTTGATGACTGGGGTGTCTTCGCGATTTCTATAACCAAATTATAGGCCGATTACACATGTTTTTCAAATTGGACGATTTGATCGGAAATCTTTTGTGATAAAGGATACCTAAGCAAGAGATTTTTAAGGCATAGATGAGATCAAACATTACTAATTAAATTTGTTATTAGCGATCTCATAAATCTAGGAATTATATAGTAAGATATAATTGATAATCGATATATACCGGGTTGAATTTAAATGGATGAGATAAATGATACCTAACAATTAATTTGTTTTGCAACTTGGATCCTAGACTTTGATAATTAATATTTTTCATTTTAGAAAAACCTTTCTATCTTTGTTAAGATATTTTACCGACCTTAACTTATTATCTTTATAGAATATTTTACCGATCCTATCTTATTATCTTTATAAAATATTTTACCGATCCTATCTTACTATCTTTAGATCTTAGGACATCTTATTAATCCTAAATTATTTTATTAACTACTTGAAGGTGTCCCTTTAGGTAGTCGGGTCTTTAAGGTTGTTGGAATGTATTACCATGAGCCCTCATAATCGAAGTTGTACACTAATAATTTCCCTCGCACGATGTTTCATCGGACGTCGAATGTTACTTATATATAAATAAAGTTATCCTGTCAGGATTGTAGCTAGCAATTGCAGGTGGGGGTGTCAAACCTCGTATAGATCTATACAGGGGCGGTTCTAGATAGGTGTCTGGTGTGGCACTGAAAACACCTAGCTTTCATGTACAAAGTGGCAAATTTCCAGTTTTTTTAAATTTTTACCTGTTGTGCCACTACGTAAAAAAAATTGTGCAACTATTAAAAACATATGTGCAACAACGTAAAAAAATGTACCACTCTATCGGGAATTACCAAGCGAAAAAAATAATTACAAGCTTACAACTTATAATTAGCTATATAGGAGCCCAATGTTTTCATCCACTATTGTCTATTAAATCAATAATTGTATTAATAGCTCAAAGCCCCAAATAAAACATTAATGGGACAAAATAGGCCAATTCTAATTGCTTGTAAAAAAATACCCTAATTCTAATTCATTGATTGTATTTTTGGCTAAAAGAAAGGAAAAAAAACACACGATGCAATCCTATTTTTCATTCTGTCCACTGTTCGACACTTGCACTTCCTGACTTCGGATGTTCCTTCGTTCGTGTTTCTGACTTTCTTCCCCCCTTAAACGGTCGATTGACAAAGGCACAAAGCTAAAGAAGTAAAGGCTGTGATTTCTACTTTCTTGATTACCAAAATCGACTTCATCAAGCACTAGAATGAAGCAAGTAAGTTTATTGATACTTTGGAATTTTACCAATTTATTTAGGTATTCGAAATTGATATGTTTTTTTTGAAGTTATTGATTGACTTGTGTGAAATTGATATGTTTTATTGAAGTTATTGTTTGATTAGGTTATATTGCTATGTTTTTATTGAATTTATTGTTTGATTAGGTGAAACACGGGGTTTGCTAGCATTTTGCTAAAGGTATCATCTTTTTGTCAAACACACAATATTGGTACTTTGGAAATGGAATATTTTTATGTTGGTGCGGGAAATCGTACGACCAAAAAAACTAATAGATTTCATTTTTAGGTTGAAATTTTCAACACAATGGTGGATATGCAACTTACAGAATATCGGGATTGATTTAGTGAAACAAGAACCCAGTTACTAGAACACATGGGTGCTTTAGGCCATTGTGATTCATTTGCACAATTTGACAAATCAAAGTTGTTGAAGTTGGCTAAGTTGTACAAGTATGACTTTGATGATTCGGATTTGATAGATCTTGAAGGACAACTTGAGATATTTTATCACTCTTGCATCAAAGATGAGCGCTTCACTAGTTTGAAAGGAATTTTCGA